GTGTCTTCTAGATAATGTCCTTACAGGATGGAAGACACAAGGTATTTCTCTGGGACTTCACTTATAAAGGCACAAATCCCATTAAATAGAGCTCTACCCTTTTTACCTAATCACTTCCCACATACTATCACCTAATACTATCATCTTGAGAGCTAGCACCTTAACATATGAATTTTATAGGCAATACAAACAGTCGTATCATAACATTGTGTGTGCTGGAGTGAATAGAAGAATATTTTAGGTGGAGCCATAGGCAGAAAGTAGCATGTTGAGGAATTGAAAGAAGGCTTTTGTAGCTAGATTTCAGTATAAGGAAAAGTAGTACCAGCTGAGACTAAAGAAGTAGATAGAGATCATACAAGACCTTTGAGGCAATGTTAAAGATTTTTAGAATTCATTCTAAAGTCATAGTTATAACAAAGAAACTCAAAATTGGACCCATCCAGACCCTAACAGTATGAGGGTTAAGAGTGCTATTGAGACTGTATCAATTCAGGGGTTTATACACTTATTTGTAATCTTTGTGATTTATTGATTCTGTTCCTGGCCTTTATCAGTTCAAATTGAGGATATAGGTATTTGGGAAAAAAATTTGTGGTGATTTTTTAAATAATTGTGCTGGGTGTGGGTACATTGTAGCATTTACAAAGGTTCTTACAGTGTATCAAATATATCATACTTGAATTCTCCCCTTTAGAGATTTATGAGTAGAGATTTTACAGTGTAACAAATTTATGGTAAAGATCTTGAAATCTTTTCATTTGCTTATGTACTTAATCTAATCTTGTCTTTTTTGGATATGCCTAGTGAGACTTTACATTATTTCTAAAATAGATATTCCTATTATTTCTATTTCCCTGATGTTTCATTGCTATAAAATTCTATAAAGTATAATTAGCCTGTGGAAGAACTATCATACCCTTTTAAAAATGAAGGTAGTATTGAAAGAAATTAAGTATCAGATGGGAAAGACTCCTATCATTATATCATTGTATAGAAAATAGTCACTTCAAGATTTGAGAAAGAGTTGATCTAGAAATGTTATAGTAACAGATAGATACTGCCAAGTCCAAAACTCCAGGATAAATAAAGGATTTATTAAGTACTTTGGGTGATGAAAATCTCTTTTTGGGAGGGGGAGTTGAGTACTTGTGTTTGAACTCAGGGCCGTGGTGCTTGCTGAGTTTTACAAGAGACATTTATCTGTTACCTTAATGTCCATATTTCTATTTTAATGAATAAGTCATTGGTGATTTAGGAAAACTAATTGGGAAATGTGTCTCTCCATTTTAAAGTCAAAATCTAATCAATATTTAAGGAAATTAACTGGAGATCAAAATGTGTCCTCCCAAACAATATCACATTCTAACACCTTTTCATACAAGTACTACCAAATCATTAAGGAACAATTAAACCCTGTCCTTACAAACTACTTTTTTAGATATTAAAGAGGAATAGCTACCCTAATTTTGTTCAGCAAAGTAAAGGAAAAAAAATCTTGGTAAAATTTTCACACATTCAGCACTTAATCAGGATAGTCTTAAGCATGTGTTAAAGAGAAGGGAACTTTTCAAATAAAGAAAGCAGTATTTACTAAAAACCAATACCATATTATCTTACCTAATGAAAAAAACATTAGATAGTTCTATTAAAATCAAGGCAAAAATTTTTGTATTTTCACTTATTTTTTTTTAGAAGTCTTAGTGATTAGACAAAAAAAAATGAAGGAAAGAAGTTAGAAAACAGGCAAAGTGTTATTTGCAGCAACAACGTGAACTTTTTTATAGAAAAATTTAAGGGATTCTCCAACAAAAGAGAACTGTTAGGTGTTCGGGAAGCTGATAGGTGAGAAATAAATCACTTAAAATTTTTTCTTGGAAGAAATCTCAGTATCCAACTGATGAATAAAGAAAATGTGTACATATATGCAATGAAATATTATTTATCCATTAAAAAGTATGAAATCCTGTCATTTTTAGATAATTTTGTTGGGGGGGCAGTACTGGGGTTTGAACTCAGGACCTCATGCTTGTCAGGGAAGTACTCTGTCACTTGAAACACTATGCCACATCCTATCATTTTAGACAACATACATGGAGCCAGTGATCATTATGTTAAGTGAAATAAGCTATGTACATAAAAGAATATTGTATGATCTCATATGTGAAATTTTTCTATAACATTTTTATTAGCATATATCAGCTGTGCTATCAATTTCACATTGTGTGTGTATCAATTTTCACTGATTTCCATTATGCTTACAATGTATCTTGGTTAGGTTCACCCCCACTGTCATTCTCCCCTCCCCCAACTTAAAACAATTTTAGCAGGTTTTATTGTTCCGTTTCACACAAGTATGTAAAGTACATCGACCATATTCACCCTCCTTACCCTCTCCATTTACCCACTCTCCTCCCACTAGTACCCACCCCCCCAAACACCCCAACAGGAACTATTTTACATTTCTGTCCTTCGTTTTTTTTTTAAGTGTATTTTCATTGTTCAAAAGGGTTTTGCCATGGTATTTCACCTGTGAATGTCTCATATTTTAATCATATTAGTTCCCTTTATTTCTCCCTTACTCTGTATTCCCTACCCCTTATTATTCAAGATGGCTTCATTATACCATCTTCCTACACAGATGCAGTGTATTTCAGTATTATTCACACTTTGTCATTCTCTTTTCCTCTCCCTCCTTCCCCTAGACCCGTCAAACAGTCCCACTATTGCAAACATGTTCTCTATACGTATGTATGATCATGTTTGTATTTATGTAAGTATATATTCACTTGTCTTCCACATATGAGAGAAAATATGCAACCTTTGCTTTTCTGAACCTGACTTATGTCACTTAGCATGATGATTTCCAGTTCTATCCATTTACCTGCAAACAACATAATTTTATTCTTCTTTATGACTGAATAAATACACTACTGTGTATGTACCCCACATTTTCTTAATCCATTCATCAGTTGTAGGGCAACTGGGCTGTTGTTATAGTGTGCTATTGTGAATAATGCTGCAATAAACATGGGTGTGCAAGTGTCTCTATTGTATCCTGATTTACATTCCTTTGTGTTTATGCCCAGGAGTGCTTCATATGTGAAATCTTAACAAGTTGTACTCATAGAAGTTGAGAGTAGAATAGTGGGTACTAGAGGTTGGGACAAGGAGGGTTTGGAGAAGTTGATCTGTGGGTAGTAAATTTTAAGTAGATAGGAGTAAGAAGTTCTGGTGTGTTGTTACACTGTGATGACTATAGATAGATAAGTGTATTTCATAAAGCTAGAAGAAAGGGCTTTGAATGCTTTTACTGTAATGAAATAATGAAAGTTTGAGGAAATGTTTGCCCTGATTTAAGCATTATATAATATGCACATATGTTAAAATGTCACATGATACTCTATGAATATGTAGTGTTTTTATATATCAGCTAAAAATTTTTAAATTTTAAACTACTTATTTCTATGCGTCAGCTACAAACTAATAAAATATAATGATTGTAAGTAAAATTCACATAGGAAAACTGAAGTTTCTAAGAATGAATCTAACAAGTTTATGGGAAAAATGATAGCATTTATTGAAAGAAATTTAATCATTCCTAAATAATGGAGATATATACCCTTCTTGTGGGATCAAAAAACTCAGCATTGTGAAAATGATAGTTCCCCCAAATTAGTCTATAAGTTTAATGCAATTCCAACTAAAATCTTTAGGTTTTTTTGTGGAACCTGATAGATTGATTCTAAAATTCATATGAAAAAATAAATGGCAATAGATAGTAAAGACAATCTAGAGGAACTTGCTCAAACAGTATCGGTATAAAAGTAGTTAAGGCACTATGAGATTAGCACAATGATAGATATGAAGGTGAATGGAGTAGAGGAAATGTCTCAGTGTGACATTTGTTTTAAAAAAAGGCAAATAAAATGTCTGAGTATCTCGTTCAAATTGGAAGAGAGGAAGAGTCTAAAAAATCTTAGTGACTTTCAACCAAGTATAATTTTAGAAAATGGTTTTCTTAGACTTACTGCCTCAATTCTTTTTTCTCATCTTAAATTCCACAATGTGAGGGCTTTCAGTTGCATAACCCTGACAGTGGATTTGGAGTACTGGTAGATAGATAATTCTGCATACCCACTTTTAAAGAATTAAGCTGCTCATGAATATTCTTTAAGAATTATGGAGGTTTTGTTAGGTTGGTGCCTTTTGCTATTTTTAGACATAACTGTGGGTTTTTTTCCTCTAGTGCTGTATGTGGTAGGCCCAGAAACATTAGACTGAAGATCTTCAGAAAAATCTGTATTATTACACACACGAACATTAAACATTTCATTAGTCTTTACTTTTGATTTCGCTTGCAATTGAACTTGGTTAAATGTAAGGAAAATGCCCCAGATTTTACTACTGTATGAGGAACAACCAGTGATAATATTATTGTTATTGGTAAAGAAACAACTGTTAAGAGTTCTTTATTTTATAATTAAATAAATAAAATTTTTTAAAGTTTAAAAAAAGTTCAAATTGATTAACTTATTTGCAAATATTTTTTGTAAATAAGTATTTCTTTCCTAAAATCACAATATATAAAATAAACATACTATATTTGTAAGTTTTTAGTAGAGTCACTTTTAATATTTCTATTTTACATTGAATTTTAAAATTTGTTTTGATTGATTCTTATAATTATTTGAATTTTTGTTATTTCCTTTTCCATGCTTTGTAAACTGCTGTTAGGGATTGTTTTTTAAATGTTTATGTCAATACTTGCCCTCAAGTAATAGATACTTAAGAGAACAATAGAATAATGCTTTCTACAGAATACCTGCTATTTTTCTTCTAAGTACTGAATGTCATACAGTATTCACAGTAATCCTTTGAAATAGGGATGTTCCTTAATACAAAATATCAAAAAAAGATTGCTCTTCTGCTATTCTTGTATTTCCAGATAATTTTCTTAACAAATTTCTTTTCTTTTCTAGGTATTTAGTAGATAGTCGCTGGTTCAAGCAGTGGAAAAAATATGTTGGCTTTGACAGTTGGGACAAATATCAGATGGGAGATCAAAATGTGTATCCTGGACCGATTGACAACTGTGGACTTCTCAAAGGTCATTATTTTCTTCCTTCAGTCAAGTTGTAAATTTCAAATGTGCAAATACAAATGGATGTAATATGGAAAAAGTTAATGTAAATAAATTGATAAGTTAGAGATTTACTTAGGAGCCTCACATTGTGTGCATGCCTGTAGTTCCAGCATGTGGGAGCTGAGGCAAGAAGATCATTAGTTCAAGGTCAACCTAGGCTATATAATGAGACCTTGTTTGAGAAAGAGAGAAAGGAAAAAAGGGAGGGAGAGAGGGAAAGGAAAGAAGGGACAGAAAAAAAGGGGAAGGGGAGGGAAGGAAAGGGAAAAAAGAAAGAAATTAGTATTAATTGTGTTATGTGTGGTGGTGGTGTTGTGTTTCAGTAAAAGTGGACCTTTTTTGAAGACTTCTCAAGTACTAGAGAAGTACTTAGTGGTGGAATGACACTGAGGCTTGCTTTAAAATGGTCTTTCTGAGGAAGGAAAGAAGGGAGGGAAGGAGAGAAGGAAGAAAGAAAAAGAAATGTATTTATATTATAGATTTGACTAATTAAATCAAATTTAATATAATTATTGTTATATATAATGGCAAATTTTCTTTTTCATTTATGATATGATTCAGGTTTTTTAAACCTTGAGATGAAGAACATAAATTACAAAACACTGTCTTTGTAATTTGTTTGGAGGAAATGCTATATCACATGTTGTTTTTCCTAATGGATATACAATGTTCTTAAACTGGGGACCACAATGTTTACATTGTTTGATTCTTGCTTTATCCTTATATAATCAGTATTTACCAACATTCCCATACTTATTTATGACCCAAAATGATTTCTTATTTATATGACCCAAAATGAGTCTTAAAAAAAAATTCTCCCCTAAACAAGCGGAAAAAATGAACAAAGAGCAGATGAGATAAAAACAAGATGGTAGACTTAAGCCCAAACTCAGAATAATCACTTTGATTGCAAACAGCAACTAAAGGTAAGACTGCAAGATTGGATAAAAAATTAAGACAACTATCAATTGTCTACAAGAAACCTACTTTAAGTGTAAAGACACAGGTAGGTTAAAAGAGATGGAAAAGAATTAGTAAGCTATGAAAACAGCCAAGATGCCCCACAGCTGATAGATTAAGAAAAATGTAGTATTTGTATGTAACAGAATTTTATTCAGCCATAAAAAATGAAATTTTGTTGTTTGCAGGTAAATAGATGGATCTGGCGAACATCATTTTAAGTGAAATTAGCCAGGTTCAGAAAGCCAAAGGCCACATGTTTTCTCTCATATGTGGAATATAGGCCCAGTACAAACACAAACAATGTTATGAAAAATAAGTCATGCTAAGGGGAGGTCCCATATGAAAGAGGGAGGGTAAAAGAAGGAAATTAAGAAGGTGAATATGGTTGATGTCCTTGAAATACAAGAATGAATAAAGAATTTTTAAACCTGTGGAAATCATCATAAGAAGGGAACTAAGGCAGAAAAGTAGAGGGGATGAACCAATTTGGGTTATAATACATATATACATGGAAATGTCACAATGTAACTCCTTGTATAACTATCTTAAACAAACAAAAATGCCTTTTTCTCAAAAACAGAATAGGAAGATAAAATAGATCCTATCTGGGGGCTGGTACCAGTGGGAGGGGGGAGGATATAAGGAAAGGGTGTAGGAGGATGAATGTGGTAGAAATATTATGTACTCATGTATGAAAATGGAAAAATGAGACATGTTGAAACTATTCTAGGAATGGAGGGAAGTGAGGTAAAGGAGAATGGTGGAGGGGGTGAATTCAGCTTGATATATTATAAGAACTTTTGTAAATGTCACATTTTACTCCCCAGTATAACAGTAATGCAACAACAAAAAATGTGAAAAAAAAAAAGTCATGCTATTATAAGCAAAGTTCTAATGACCTCCCAATGATCCTCATTCTTGAATAATCTTCATTCCTTGGGATGGAATTGATAGGATTAGATGCTGTTCTCCTGATTATGTCAAAAGCCAGAAGGGAGATTATCCTGGTGGGTTTATCGTAATCACATACACCCTTTAGAAGCAGAGAATTGTCTCTAGCTAGTGGCAGGAGAACTCAAATTCAAGCATGAAAAAGACTCTACACATCATTGTTGGTTTGAAGGTAAAAGGGGCCTCTTGAGACACAGAGAGCCAGCAAGGAACTGGGTACCTTAGAGTAATTGAATTATGCCAACAACCCAAATGGTCTTGGGAGATGATTGTTCTCAGAGTTTCAGATAAGAGCCAGCACAGCTGACATCTTGACTTCAGTTTTGAGAGACCCTACACAAAGGACCCACTTAAGAACCCACCTAAACTACCCACCCACAGAACTGTGAGAAAATAAATGGATGTTGTTTTAAACCACTGTGGTTTAAATAAAGTTGCAATAAAACTTGAATAGCCATATTAATATCAAACATTAAGTTTCAGAGCAAAAAACATTATGAGGGATAGGTCACTTCACAATGCTAAATGGGAGAATTCATCAAAAGAACATAATTATCCTTAATATCTACCTGAGGGCATGATTTAAATATGTGAAGAGTGACATCAGCAAGACAATAGAGTAGGAAGTCCAATTCTTTATTCCCCCATGGAAACACTGATTTGACAATGATATATGGACCACAGTACCTTTGGGAAGTCCAGGATCCAGCTAAGAAGTTGCTCTGCTCCAGATGAACAAAATACTGAGAACACCCACATTGAAACAGGTAAGAAGAACAATTTTATTTACCCAAATGATCTCCTTCTCCAAGACTGGCACAGTTTAGCATCAAGGTGATTGTCTAAGTCCAAAATATCTCCCTTTTGGAGAAAGAAAAGCAAGGCATATGTTTAACTTCCCAACTTTTAATGTGTTGCCTGCCCAAGAGACCAGGTGTTTCACTTGGCACAGAGCAGTAAATGGATCAGGATAATTTTAATGCCTGAGGACAGTTAGCAAAGGAAAAGAGATGAGTGGTTGCTGAAGCAGAAGGCTTGGTGAAATTGAAAGAAGGCTGAGAACCTGAGGCTTTTCACTCCAGCATCTAGTCCTTTCTGTGTAGTAGCTGAGAGTCTGGTTTTTTTCTAATCTAAACTGTCTGTCCAAACTAACATCATTTGGGTGCCTTAGAAGTTAAGAGAAAAGAAAAAGGAGTAAGTGGCTTGCTGCAGCTGCCACAGCTCTGCAATATTGAGAAAAGATGCAGAACTGGATACTTGTCCCCAGAGAAGATGAGCAGAGTGTGCTGCCAACGTCCCATCCTTTTAGTGTGCTGTTTAAAGGGCTGGTTTCTGTCTCATCTTACCCCGTGTACTATTGGAACCAATATAGTTTGCTATGGACAGTTAGAATAAAGGCAAAGGGGCAAGTGGCTTCCTATACTCAGCAAAGCTCTGCAAAATAGAAAAGGGCTTAAATCTCAAAGTTTCTTCACAGAGAGGAGGGAGAGAAGTTGAGTGCACCTCCAGCAATTTGGCCTGTCAAACAGTAAAGGGAAGAAGAGATTATGGGCTCCCAGACAAAAAAAAAATTAAGTGAATGAATCCCTCTAATTAAGAATCTACATGTACAGGTACAAAAAAGACATGCATGGACAAAGTTAGAGACTCCCGGAAACTCTAGCCAGGCTCATCAGTGAAGTTATTTCCCTGTCCAAACCAATCCATAAAGACTAGATGGAGTGGTTGCTTCTTCATTTGCATGGACACCAATACCAAGCTATAAGGAACATGAAAAATCAGGGAAACATGACATCAACCTTAAATTTCTAGAAACTGACCTTAAGGAAATGGTGATCTGCGAGTAACCTGATAGAAAATTCAAGGTAATTGTTTTAAAGAAGCTCAGTGAGTTATATGAAAATATAGACAACTGAACAAAATCAGGAAAAAAATTAATAACATGAAATTATCAGCAAAGAACTTGTAAAGAACAACTAAATGAAATCTGGGGCTGAAAAATACAATAACTGAAAAATTCACTAGAGTTCTTCAACAGCAGATTTAATCAAGTAGGAGAACTGGTAAACTTGAAGACAGACCATTTAGAATTTATACAGTCAGAGGAGAAAAAGAATTTTAAAAAGTAAAGCCTAGTAATTCATGGGACACCTTCAAGTGAATAAATATGTGCATTATCAGAAGGAGAAAAGCAAAACGGGCAGAAGGGTTTAAGAAATGGTCAAAGCTCCCCAATCTGGGGAGGGAAACGGACATCCAGATCCTAAAGCCTAAAGAAGAATTGAACAACAGTATTAATCAACTTGACTGAATTGACCTTTATAGAACACTCCACCAGTTCTTTTCAGGTGTGTATGAAGATATACTATATTCTGGGCCATGTCTCAATTCTTTTAAAATCATTCAAATCATACCAAGCATCTCACACTTCAGTGAAACAAAACCCACTTTGAAGAGAAAGTCCAGTGGATAAAGTAGTCAAAAGATTTAAACAAATACTTCACTGAGTTTTCAAAAAACACATGTATAGGTACTTAGCCTCATTAGTATTAAAGAAATGATGATCAAAACTTCAATAGGGGGTGTAACTCAGTGGTAGAGCACTTGACTAGGTCTTGGGTTTGATCTCCAGCACTACAAAACAAAACAAACCACACTGAGGTACCACTACACATGTACTAAATTGTTAAATTTAAAAGACTGATGCTTACCACATGTTGGCAAGGATATTGAGCAAGTTGAATTCAAATTAAACATACATTTACCATAGTACCCAGTAATATTACACCTATTTACCCAAGAGAAATTAAAGCATTTATCCATATGAAAAGTTGTACATGTATGTTTGCACAGTGTTCTTTGTAATATAAATAATGATGAACAGCCCAAGTGCCCATCACATACCTGAATGATAATGAAATCTGACTCAGCGATTAAAAAGGAATGAATTGTTGACAGGTAAAAATATGGATGGATCTCAAAATAAGTACATATGATGAATGAAATAAAGATATACTATTTTTTATAAGATTCTAAAAATGCAGTTTTGTCTACAGTAACAGGTACTACTTTCATGTAAAATTTGAGACATCACAATTAGTCTGTAGTTGTGAAAAGTAGAGATCAGTGCTTTTTTGGGAATACAACTGGAAGCTGAATGGGCAGGAAGGAGAGATTGCAAAGAACTACTGGAAAACTTTTGGGGTGATGGATAGGTTCATCATTTCACTAGTGGTGAGAATTTCACGTTTGATATTTTAGAATGTTAATATAATTTAAATATGCACAGTTTATTGGATAACAATTATATGCCAGTACATGCAGAAGTAAGAAATACGTTCTTGTCCCCAAAAATATGAATTGATCATATTAATCTGTCTACTGACTACAAATTGCTGTTTGGATTTTGGTATATAATAAAGTAATTTACCTAAATTCAGTTATTATAAAAAACTGAATGTAAGCCTTCACTTTTAACCTTTTCCCAAGTTTTCTTCATGACAGTGTGTTATAATGGCAAAGCAAGTGAGTGTTAAGTAGATTTGTGTTTGAATTCATTCTGACCTTGGGCAAGTTACTCAACATCTTGGGTTTATTGCCTAGTTAAAATGGAAATACTTACTTCATGGTATTACTGGGAAAATTAACTGAGAAGTATGGTTTTCTATAATAAAACTCTTTGTAGTACTTGTAATTCCCTAAATTACCTTGGTAAAGTTATTCAATGTCTCTGACTATATATTATAATCTTTACCTATCTTATAGGGTTGTTTTGAGAATTCACTGTGATAACATGATTATCTGCTGTAGTAATCTCATAATACATGTTGCTTATTGAAGGATTAAAATATATAATTTTCTTTCACCTTCAGAGCTTTCTGCAAATCTCTTCCAAATTGTGTTCATTGACAATTTAAAAGATGCAACTAATGTTTAAAAGACTGAGCTTTAAAAATCAATGCTTAGTTTACATCTGCTATTGAAGATCATATTATAAAATTCAGACTTTTCCCATTTCTGTTTCTATTTAAAACATAACTTTCTCAAAGTTTATAGGTTCTGTTACCACATATTGATTCCAGAAAGAATAAGTCTGTTTTAAGCTTTTTTCCTGCTTTTTGATTCATATTGTTATACCTTATTAGGAAAAGTACCTTCTCCTTATTGAAATACTGCAAAGAACAATATGTCTTTCAATATCTCTTAATTAAGAATTACCAAGAAAAGCCCAATGTGGTGGTACACATCTATAATCCTGGCACTTAGGAGGCCAAGGCAGGAGGATTACAGGTTTGAGGCCATCCTACGCTACATAGTGAGACCCTGTCCCAAAAAACAAAAAGAAGAAAACAAAATTAACTTAGCTCAAGAAAATTTCCTTTAAGTTAGATAGAACTCAATGAGCTATTTTTGTTTCTGTAGTTTAGAAATTCAAATGGCTAATTAACAGATGAGTCCCAGATTAAGACTGTGATATAACGATGACTCAGGAGAATGCTTCTAGATCTCTGATCTGCCTGGACTAAACTTTTGAGTTTAACTAGAAATTTAAAAGTATATTGCAGAATGAAAGCCACATCTGAACGAGTGCTACCATTTTAGAACCTGGAGGAATCCAGGTCATGGGCCTTCTCATGCAATGAGACGATTCACAAGACACCGTTTTGTGACTTCCATCACGGTTTTTAACCTGTATGTCTTAGAGTCATTGTGAAAGGTTATTGATTTGCTTCCGCATTCCTGGGTTAACTGATGATAGAATTATCACTACTACCAATGTGAGGGATCTCTAATACTCAAAATATTTGGGAAATACTCTTCTGCCAGCTATCTTGGCTAACAATTGCATATTAGTATTTTAGTAGCCTAATAAAAGAAAAATTATATTTTTAAAAACTTACTGGTTAGCTGATGGTACACATTGAAAGCTTAAGCTTTCAATGAAATATGTAGCGAATTTGAATCTTCCCAGAGTTTTTTTGTTATTATTTTACATACTTAAGTCATCTTTGTGAGCTTAAATAATTTGTAATATCTATACAAATGTATGTAGACATATGTACTATTGTTTCTTTTTTTATATTGAGCTTATTTTTCCCTTTGCAGATGGTGATGCACAGTCACTTAAGGAACATCTTATTGATGAATTGGATTACATACTGTTGCCAACTGAGGGCTGGAATAAACTTGTCAGCTGGTACACCTTGATGGAAGGTCAAGAGCCAATAGCAAGAAAGGTACATTTGAGAATAACTGAATAGAAGTATTCTTTTTCTTGAGTAGTTCACATTTTATTGTTAATTCAATGAATTGTGAAGCCTTACCACTTATCTTGAGGGAAAGGCCAACAAAAGGTTATTGTGCAATTTTAAAGTTTTATAATTATAGTGTAGAAATATTAAAAAGGAACAATTTTCATTTTTTTTTTTTTTTTGGAACTTCAGAGAGCAATAAAAAGTGAGGGTGTTGCCTTAATAGGATACCAAAGTTTTGAAGAAAATCAGCTAACCTTACATAAGTATTTGATAATTCATAAATAATTTGTATAAATATAAGTAGTCTAGGTGCTCATTCATTCCTGGGGAATTGGCCAATTGAAGGATAGCCTGTTACCTGTGAAGCTATTCTAAAAGAAAACCTTCAGTTCAAGGACAAAGGAAAATGTGTATCCAGAATATCTTCAAATGTATTAAACTATATACCTTAATAAGTTTTCGGTATGTATCAAACCAACTGACAACAACTTCATTGTTACTACTCTTTGAAAGAAGCCTTACTAAGATTTCTTGGTAACCTGGGTCTGATAAGCAAATCCAAATGAAAAAGAAAAAGAAAAATGAAAGGTTACATAAGGTAAAAAGAAAAAAGTTTGAGAAGTCTTTTAGGAGACTATACTTTTATTTCTAATAGGGTAAATATAATTTATCCAATCTGTCAAATAGTTTTCACACTTTAATATGTATAAAACTTCCTAGAGCTCTTATTAAAGATGTAGCTTCCTTAAAATTAAATCAGTAGGTCTGGAAATTTTCATTTTTACTGTGTGCCATGTGACTTATTCAGCTGAAACAAAGCCTCAGTGCCAGGCATAGTGGCTCATATTTGTAATCCCAGCTACTAAAAGGTGTTAATCAGGAGGAACAAGATTTGATGCCAGCCTGGGCAAAAAGTTAGCAAGGCCCCATCTCAACAAATAAGCCAGGTGTGATGGTGCATGTCTCCAATCCCAGCTACACAGGAGGCATAGGAAGGAGGATCTCAGTCTGAGGCCAGCTGAGGCAAAAAATATGGGACTGTACCTGAAAAATAACTAAAGGAAAAGAGATTGGAGGCATGGCTCAAGAGGTAAGAGTGCTTGTGAGACTCTGAGTTCAAACCCCAGTTCCACCAAAAGAAAAACATCCCACAGAAACCACCAACACCATGTGGTAGAACACATCTATAATCCCAGCTACTCAAGAGGTGGAGGCAGGAGGATTGTAAGTTCAAGGCTGGCTGAGGCAAAGGTATTGAGACCCTGTGTCAAAACCAGAATTTAGGACTGACTCCAGTGCCACCAAAACAAACAAAAAACAGAATTTAGGGCTGGGCGTGGGGCTTAAGAAGCAGTATGCCTGCCTAGCAAGTGCCATGCCCAACAAACCCACCAAAAGCCAAAAAACAATAAAAAAAAAAAGTCACCTGGTATTGGTAATACTTTGCTTTAATGTAAACACAAAATTAAACATCTTCTTGGGCCTCTAAAATGTTTCATTTATTATGTCAGGTATTCAATCTTAAAAACAAATAAGAAATCAAGGATATAAGCAAGAAACACAGTAGAACCAAAATCTGTGAAAAACAGTAGAAACAGACACATAATGGATCTAGTTGATGGAGTTATTAGAAACTTTACTGTGCTTATTATGCTCAAAAAATAAGACAATTAAAAAGTAGGATAAAACTATTAAATACCATCCTAGTACAATTCTAACACTGTATGATGATATGAAAAATAATGGTCTTCATGTTTTGGTGTAATGCTAAACAACTGAAGATATAATTTGTAAACTGAGTTGGTGGAAAATACACAGTCAGAACTTAAAAGAATGGAGAACTCTGAAAAAAATGTGATATCATATATGGAACACAGGGAATAAATTTAGCATGCATACATATAATTGGAATCTTAGCAGGAGAGGAAAGGGAACAGAATGGGTACAACTAAAACCTGAAAAGGTAATAGCTGCAAATTTTCCAAAACTAGGCAAGATACATGCTGTAGATTGAGAAAATCATGTGATTCTTAAGTGGAAAAATATCAACAAAACTATAACCAGTACAAATGTTGAATAGGCAAGGGAGAAGGATATTTCTAGTAACAGAGAAAAAGATATGTTATCTTTAAAGTAAAAAAGACACACTTGATTTCTCAACTGAAACAATGAGATTCAAAAAACAATGAACTATCTTCAATATGCTAAAAGAAAATAAGTGTCAACATAGAAAGCATTACAAAAGAATCCTTCAGGAAGGAAAATGAAAAGTCATTTGCAGACAAACAAAATTATTTAACAGTATTAGTATGTCAATTAAAACAATAGCCTGCAACATGTCTCTTAAAAATACCCAACCCCTCATATCCAAATCCTTCAGTCTTTTCCATGTTGTACCGAAATTGGTCTATGTAGCCAAAAGCACATAGTAGAACTCATAGTAAATCACTTTCAGGAGTAGATTATGAAAGGGCCTGGCTCCATGGCTTACCTCTATAATCCCAGCTACTTGGGAGATGGAGATAGGAGGGTCACGGGGCAAGGCTAGCACAGTCAAAACAGTTAGCAAGACTCTGCTTCAAAAAAGAAGCTGGGTATTTGGCTTATACCTATAAACTAAGCTGCTCAGGAGGCATAAGTGTGATGATTGTGGTTTGAGGCCAACCTACAAAAAGCACAGAAACCCCATTTGAAAAAATTGACTAAAAACAAAGAGCGGGAGGCAAGACTAAAGTGAAGCTCTCAGCACCACCATCCTGCAAAAAAAGAAAAAAAAGTTAGGTTATAAAAGACAGGTACAGCTTACATCCTGGGTGTACACATAACTCTTGATTCTCTCTCATCTCTCACTGGGTTGAGGGGTAGGGATTCACTGCCCATGCCAAAGACACTCAAGCAGCTTATGGAGAGGCCTGCATGGCCTGTAAATGAGATCTCTGACCAATAAAAAGGAATGGAGGCCTGCCAGCAGCTGTGTGAGTGATCTTGAAAGTGGGTCATCCAGTCTTAGTTGAATTTTCAGATTATTGAAGCCTCAGTTCACAACTTGACAACAATCTCATGAGAGGCCAAAAGCCACATCAACTCAGCTAAATTGCTCTCAGATTCTTTATCCCCAGAAATGATGAGATGTTTTCTGCATTAAGTTGCTAAGCCTTGGGGTAACTTATTATGCAGCAGTAGATAGCTGATACTGGTTTGGAAACCTGTTGTAAGTAGGGTACTGACAACAAAAACTTGCATTGTGATGACTTTGGAGCTGTACAGTAAGCAGAAGCTATAAGACCTTTTAAGAGTATTAGCAAAATTCTAAAAGGCTATGAATAACCTGTCACTAGAATTTTGGACTTTGAGAAGGCTGCCAGTAAGAACTTCAAGGAAAAGTGGGAAAAATCTTGGAAACTGTAGGGAAAGGATCTTTGTTATATATAGCAGAAACTTTAGCAGCATGTTACCTACTGCAAACTAAGAGGTAAAAATATGTGTCTAATGAATTTAGTAATTTGCCAAAGTAGTACCTGTAGTCAAATGTGTGAAGAGAATTGAGCTGAAGACAGGATTGTTAAATAAAATAGGGCCATCATTTGCAAGTTTTAAAGATTCCCATTTCCTCCACACTGCAAATGATGCTAAAACTAAAAAGTATTTCTAAGCAAAGATCAAACTCAGAGCAGTGTCAGGAAATCATGATCTAACATTGAAGCCAAGTCTGTAACTATAAAATCACCCCTAAAAAATTAGGGGTGGTATCTCACGGTACTACTCAGACAAAAATTTTAGATTGTCTTCTTAGTAAAGTTAGTTAAATTCAGCACATGCTAGACCATCAAAGTAATCCCAATAAATTACAAATAACAGAAATTATTCAGGGTATTTTCTGTCCCTATAGTGGGAGAAAGCTAGAAATAAGTAACAGAGATAAATTATTCCTCAGCTATCTAGAACTGGAACAGTATACTTTTAAATAATCCTAAGTCAAAGAAGAAATAAAAATTTAAATTAAATCTTAATGAAAATACAACTTAACAGAATGGTTGAGGAACTGGCGGGGAGGCGGTGCACTGCTGCAGTCCCAGCACTAGTGAGATGGAGGCAGGAGGTCTTGAGTTCAAGACCAGTCTGGGATACATGAGGAACTCCTTTGTCAAAGAATAGGTAAAGTCATTTTTAGAAGGATCTTTATAACTTAAATACAAGTATTAGCAATTTATTTTTATTTTTGGTGGTACTGGGACTTGAACTCAGGGCCTTACACTTGGTAGGCAGGCACTCTACCAGTTGAGACACTACGCCAGTCCTACTTAAATACAAGTATTAGAAGAGTCTGAGGGGAAAATATTTTTAGAGGGAAAAATATTATGAAGTAAACATTAACAGGTCTTGCGGAGTGACTCAAGCTGTAGAGCGCCTGCCTAGGAAGCATGAAGTCCTGAATTCAAACCCTAGTGTTTCCCCCACCCTGCCAAAAAGAAAAAACTCACCAAAATAGAATACAACCTACAAAACAGCAGAGGTGTGTAGTTTCAAAAGAGACCAAGAGTCATATAAAGCTGAAAATACTTTCTGGCCCTTTACAAAACAATGTGGTGACTTCCCACCCCTAGTCTATATCGATTAATCATTAGGTCTATAATTTTGCTCAGTATTTCATAATTTTTACAATAAAAAAGCTCAGTTCCTAGGTATTTTGATCTGCTGTTAATGTTTTAAAATTCAACTTCATTTTTTGCAGATAAGTAACTGATTCCTCATATTAACCTTTTATCAGACTAATTGCTAAACTTCCTTATTATTCTAATTATTGTCAGGAGATGTTCCTGGAATTTTATGCCTATAAAATAGTTATGTCCTTGTCTTTATTGTTAACTATACTTACCCTGACTCCAGGAATTCATTCTAATTTATCTCCACTAATAAGCTTAAAAAATGAATGTAGCTCATTTCTTCAGAGTTCTAAGTCTGTTCATTAGTCTCAGTGTTGTTAAATTGTTTTATAGTACCAAATTTCTTTAGAAACTATTTTTGTTTCTCTTTCCGTTTTTGGAGTAGGGCGACACATAGAATTAAGTTTCTGTAAAATGTACATATTTAGATATAAAAAATAGACTAAGGTTCCTATATTTAACGGCTTTGAATAAAATACTCCTAATGTTTACAACAAAACAAACAAATAGAAATTACATTGTTTAAATTCTGCATAAACTTGTATTTCCCTCACAAACTTAGTAAAGAGACTGTCTTCATAAATTAACAAAAATATTTTTAGATATCAGTAAGTCTTAAATTTTGAACAAGGACCCACATTTCATCTTGTCTGCTCCCTTTATTTATGGGTAAAATAACATTATAATTCACATAGAATAAACATTGCCACCTCTAATTCTTAAACGTACATATCATTTCTGAGTATTCACTTCCAGACTTACCTCAAATATATATTTGGGTGATTTTTAACAGCTATGTAAATATAACTTTGTACCATATTTCTTATAAGCTTTTTTCTTACTGTTACAATCTTTAAAATCATCATCTTCTATGGTTATTTTCAATGTGAACGTTTTTAATAAAGAAATGTGACTTTTTATATAAACAAATAATCTTTAAGTATGACCATAGCAACACTGATTCATGAGCGCACCAGTGATTTTTTTCTGTTCTGGTGCTGTAGTTTTCAACCTTTAATGACACATGTAATTTGATCTTTTAAATAAAAATTGTTTGAGTACAAACTTGTATTTTTTAAAAAGGAACCGCTTATTAATATACTGTTTTTAAAAGTAGTAAGATATAATTATAGTGGTAGTAATCCGAGTAGTGATAATAAAGCTTTTAGCAATGTAAGATGTTATTGGAGAGAAGAAAAATAAGAAAACTTTTGAATAATACTGTGAATTTTAAATAATCTTAATGTTTTGTTTTCAGAGATCTTATGATGACTTTTTGACAGTTCAGTTATCAGGTGCTTTCCTAGAACATATTTATTAGTATTACAAAAAGTGAGTCTCTTGTTTTTTTAAAAAAGCTATGCTTATTTAGAAAATATATTCCTCAATAGGAATCATAATGAGGGATTTTATTTTAGGATTTTACTCAGATAACAAGTCCCATAGCTAAAATTTCTGTTGATAAGAATATCTGATTGTTTTTTTCTAATTAAATATAGCTAACAGTAATCTTATAAAATTAAGTATGTTTTATTCTTAACCTAAGCATAAGAGGTTTAAAAAAAATCTTGTTAATTAAGAGTCATAATTTATTAGTCTTTTAAGGTGAATTAAGTTTATTAAAACAAGAGGTGGAGCCTATAACTTGTTTATGTCCCATATTCAATTGATGTAAGTTTGTGAGTACATCTAAGTCATCTGGAGCCTCCCTTTTGCCATATTTGTCCAGTGTATCACATATCAGGCCAATTACTATTTTCAGAAACAGTATTCACGACTGAAATCCTACAGTTAACCTTTAGAAGATCAAAAGGAAGTAAACTTATTTAAAAGGTGACCCTAATATATAAATATTTTATCTTTTTCTACCTTACTGCTTGCATGTTTAATGTTTTTTTTGTTGTTGTTGCATAGAATTACTAAATACATATTTAAAGGTCAAGCAAAGTCATTTTAGAATGAAACTAACATAGCCGCTTCAGGGCCATAGCTGAATATTTTGGCAACAGTAATTTGGAGTTACTATTTTAAAAGATTTATTTTAACATAAAGAATGATAATCCAGACATTGTTAAATTATATAAAACTTTGGAGTCATTACTAAAAGCTAGAGTATGTCTGTATATTTAATCAGAGCTGTCTGTATATGTAAATAAGTACGGAAAATATATACATACATGTAATCATTTTGTGCAACTTTCTGATCATGAAGATTGGATATATTCACTACTTATGATGTACCAGTATTAAAGATCAGGGGAATACCTCTCCAAACTGTCAATAATGTTTGAAAACATGATTATTATATTCTGTTAAATTTTGTATTTTTTTAAATTTTCAGCTCTCTAGTATCTGTTTTATATTAGAAGGTTTTAATAGTTAATTATTAGGGGTCTGCATGTTTTCCTAAAATCTCTTTACAGAAGTATTTTGCTATGAGAATGAAAGATACTGATATAGCTGACACTGATTTGTTTCATTTTTTAGGTGGTTGAACAGGGTATGTTTGTAAAGCATTGCAAAGTAGAAGTATATCTCACAGAATTGAAGCTATGTGAAAATGGAAACATGAACAATGTTGTAACTCGAAGATTTAGCAAAGCCGACACAATAGGTAATACAAGAGCCTGTCTCTAAACTGTTGTTATAAGATATTTAGTTGTAATTTCTTTTTTATATGCTACTAGGATGATAACCATTTAAGGATTTATTCATAAACCTTGCAGATCCTCAAGTGTAGTACACTATGTCTTAGCTTAGAGTTGAATTACTTCATTACTCTGCTTTCCATTTATTAAATGAGTTTAAATTTGTGCCGTTTTGCTTTAAAAATCAAATCGTTACTGTTTTAATTTGGCTTTAGGAAAGTGTGTGTCATGTTTGTAAAGTATAGCTTTAAACAAAAACTTGCTTAAATAAAATGTGGTAAGGTAGCATGGAAAATGCCAATTGATTATTTCCTCTTTTTTTTCTCAGTTTATTCTTTTTGACCAAATACTGTTAAGTAGCTAAAGCAGCAGGCTTACCATTATTAAGACATACTAATTTTTGTTGCTATTAACAAGTAAGTTAGGGAATCAAAGTCTCAAATATTAGTGTACCTGATTCTGTGTTTATATAAACATGTATATTTAAAATATATAATTTTTGTTCTAGTTAAATACCATGGATTTTTTTTCATTTTTCCATATACATATATGAATATTTCCATGGTATTCACCCTCTGACCCCTTTCCTTGTATTCTTTCCCTTCCTACTGGTACCAATCCCCAGACAGGACCTGTTTTGCCTTCCTGTTCTCTGTTTTTGTTTAAAAAAAAACAAAAGATGGCATTTTTGTATGTTTAAGATGACAATATAGGGAGTTTCATTGTGACATTTCCACGTATATATGTATGATAACTTGAATTGGTTCATCCCTTCTGTTTTTCTCCTCTTTGCTTTAGTCCTCTTCTTATGGTGATTTACAGGGTTAAAATTTTATATTCTTGTGTAGGAAGTACATCAACCATAATCACCTTCTTAATTTCCATGTTTTACCCTCCCTTTCTCATATGTGATGTTCCCTTATTGTAACCTGTTTTTCATAGTATTACTTATATTTGTGTTGTGTCTATATCCCACATATGAGAGAAAACATGTGGCCTTCGGTTTTCTGAACCTGGCTAGCTTCACTTAGGATGATGTTCTCCAGTTCCACCTGTTTACCTGCAAATGATAAAATTTCATTCTTCTTTATGTTTGAAAAAAAATTCTGTTGTATATGAATACCATGTTTTCTTAATCCATTCATGAGTAGTAGGGCATACGACTGTTTCCATAGCTTAGCTATTGTGAATAATGCTGCAATAAACATGGCTGCTTTATTGTAACCTTATTCACATTCCTTGGGGTGTATCCCTAGGAGTAGTATTGCTTGATCATATGGCAGTTCTATTTTTAGTTTTTTTTTTTGAGTAGCCTCCATACTGTTTTCCGTAGTTGTACTAATTTACATTCCCACCAACAGTGTATGAGGGTTCTTTTTTCCACACATCCTCACCAACATTTGTTGTTGATTGTGTTCTTGATAATAGCCATTCTAACAGGAGTGAGAAGGAATCTTAACATGGTTTTGATTTGCATTTCCTTTATGACCATGGATGTTGAGCATTTCTTCAACCATTTATTAAAGTCAGGAATGAGACAAGGGTGTCCACTCTCTCCACTGCTATTAAATATAGTCTTGGAGTTCCTAGCCAGAGCAATAAGACAGACAGAAAAAATAAAAGGAATTCAAATAGGAAAAAGTCAGAGTATTTCTATTTGCAGATGACATAATCTTATACTTAAAAGACGCCCCAAAAAACTCTTTGACATCATAAACAGCTTCAGCAAAGTAGCAGGATACAAAATCAATTTGCAGAAATCAGTAGCCTTTCTATATACTAACAATGAACAGACTGAGAAAGAATATAGGAATACAATTCCACTTACAATAGTTTCAAAAAAAATAGGAATGAACTTAACAAAGGAAGTAAAAGACCTCTGTACTGAAAACTAAACCACTGAAAAAAGAAATTGAAGAAGACTACAGAAGATGGAAAGATCTCCCATGCTCATGGATTGGCAGAACCAATATTGTGAAAATGGCTATATTTCCAAAAGCAATCTACAGGTTCAATATAGTCCCCATCAAAATTCCAATGACATTCATCACAGAGATTGAAAAATCAACCCTAATGTTCATTTGAAAGCACAAAAGGCCGAATAGCCAAAGCTGTACTGAGAAAAAGAGCAACGCTGGAAGTATCACAATACCTGACTTTGGACTATACTCCAGAGCTATAGCAATAAAAACAATGGTACTGGCACAAAAACAGACAAGATGACCAGTAGAACAGAATAGAAGACCCAGATATGAATCCACTCAGCTACTCCCTCCTGATTTTTTACAAAGGCACAAAAACATATGATGGGGAAAAGACAGCCTCTTCAACAAATGTTGCTGGGAAAACTGAATATCTGCATGTAGAAAACTGAAACTAGATCCATCTCTTTCACCCAGTACAAGTATCAGCTCAACGTGGATTAAGGACCTTAATATAAGACCTGAAACTTTGAAGCTAGTGCAGGAAACACATTGGAATTAATTGGCATAGGCAGTGACTTTCTGAATAGAACTCAAAAGTCTAAGAGGAAGGATTAACAGATGGTACAAATGAAATTAAAAATCTTCTGCACAACAAAAGAAATGGTCACCAGATTGAAGAGTGCACCCACAGAATGAGAGAAAATCTTTACCAGCTATACATCTGACAAGGGATTAATAACCAGAATATATGGGGAACTCAAAAAACTAAATTCTCCCAAAAAATAAATGACTCAATGAAGAAATGGGCAAATGAAATGAATAGATATTTTTCAAAGGAAGAAGTCCAATGGCCAAAAAACACATGAATAAAAGCCATGTTTTAACTTAAAATGAAAAGCCTTGAATAAAGGTTGAAATAAATTGCTATGAAATTTAAATTGCAGTATTTCAGCATAGAAAAGAGATAAGCAAGTTTATCTTATGTATAAGATTTCCTTATTTAGCTATCATTAAGAACACTGACTAAAAGTAAATGAAACCATTTCTAAACTTTATAAATACATTTGACTTTTACCACTTATCCATTTGAAAGTAGGAATATATTTTAACCCATATTTTATATGAAATAAAAAATACCAAGTGCTTAATTAAACCTAATATCTTCACCAAATAAAATATTAACTTGTGAATTACTTATTTCTACATCTTTATTTAGGTATAACTTTTATAAGTTTAAGATTCAATTTGAATAAACTCACACAGAAATGAGTGCTTAAAATATTAATTTCCAAATTGTGAAAGTCATTTTATTATAGTTATTAGTATAGATAAATTTTTTCCCATTTTGAATTTCCAGAGTTTTGGAACATATTCAAGAAAGTAAAATTTTATACACTAAAAAGTGGAATTTTTCAGTAGATGAAAATTATGCTGACATGTATACAGTAAAAATATGTCTTCCTTACAAGATTATTCTGTTAAAATTAATTCAAAGAATAATCTGAGATTTATAGCCAATGGGAATATAAACGGAAAGCCACCTATAATACAGTTGATAGAGGTAATGTTTTCTAGTTATTTGTACAGATTGATATTCTCTCATTTTAATAGGAAAATTGTATATTAATATTATATTGAGAAATTTTTTATTTATTTTAGATAATTATTTTACTGAGTATTTTAAAACTCATGAAAATAGCTAATTTAATTTCTGAATTCAAAACAGATACTTCATATTAAATACTAAAAGTTTGTAAAGAATATGCTTCAAAAAGTTTGTGATCTAGCATAGATTTTAGTCATCATAACTTAAATATTCTAATACTTTTAAATGAATATATTGGATATCCATTTGATACATTGGATATATATATATCTTAAAATTATATATGCTTTGAATTTTTGTATAGCTACAAATTCTTATTCTGCTATATTAATGTTTTTGAGACTGATATTTCTTTGGGTGCTTGTTAAACAGTTTTGGAGTAAAGAGAATTGAATGTAGAATATCAGTGCATATGTATGTCTATTGAGTCACAATTTCTTACTGTATCTCAATTTTAAGTTGATTCCTTTCTTAAGCAAAAAGTTTTACTAAATTAACATTAATCGTGAGAAATTTTGGAGGCTTCATGGTTATAGTTATTATACAACTTAACAGTTACTGAATACTTAATATGTTTTAGGTACTTTATAGGAATTCTCTTATTTGAACCTCAGCAACTCTCTATCCTCATAAATGATAAAACTTAGGCTTAGAAGGTACTTCAGTTCACCCTGGTAACAAATGGTAGAGCCAGTACATAACCAGAGCTGTTATCCCAGAATATTCATCTTTTTTGGTTGTTTTTGTTGTAGTAGTAGTAGTTTTGGATATTCTGGGATTTGAACTCAGGTTCTTGCACTTACTTAACAGGCACTCGGCCTCTTCAGCCACACCCCCCAGCCCTCAACTCCAGTTCTTGATATATACCTAACCTTAGCCACCTATTCTCATTACTTGTAGCTTTATTTGCCAATGTTTTCGCATCTTGCTTTCTAGCCACTACTTCCTCTACTCCAATCCTCTCTTGAACCCATTATGCTAGTGCTAACACTCCCTTGACAGTCCTTCTGTCATTGTTTCTAATGACCTCCCCATTGCCAAATTTAGTGCTTGTTATAAGTCTCCTATCTTAAATTACCAGCAAAAATTAACATAGTAAACTACTTTTCTTTTTACGTGGCTTTCAGGACCCAGTTTCTTAGTGGCTCCATCTTAACTGAAGTAAGATCCTCTTCATATTCTTGATCTGAAAACATCAGAGTACCTCCATGCTTAGTCTTAGGGTCTCCTCTCTTGGAGATTTCATCTAGTCTGCCTGTAAAGGTTTTCTTCATGTCGATGTCTTTTAAATCAATATGTCCTACTCAAAATTCTCCCTGATTTCAGTTTCAACCATTCCATAGCTTCACTTGTATATCTGATAAGCATCTCAAGATAATTATGTATAAAGTTAAACTTCCTTTTCCCCCAAACTTACTACCCTGCCATTCTTTCTGATCTCTGAAATTAATTGCCTCTTCTTCCAATTGCCCAGACCAAAAAGTTTGGTATCTTGATTCCTTTATTTCTCACCCTACATATAATCTAGCAGCATATTTTCTTAGCAGTTTCTTCAGAATCTATTCACATTCTGACTTCTTAACACTGCTTGCACTTCTGCCACCTTGGTTTTGATTGCTGTGGTAGCCATGTCTCCCAACCTTGACCCCCATAGTCTGTTCTTCATGAGCAGCAAAAGTTAACACTTAGCATGTCAATCATATTATGCTACTTCTCTCTTCCAGACTCCTCATTGACTTCCCTTACTAAGAATAAAAACAAAAAGTACTGTCAGAGCTCATAAAATTCTATATAATCTTACAAAAGTACCTTCCTTTCTTGCAAGGGAGGGGTTGAGACAGAGTCTTAGTGCAGGCAGGCCTCAAACTCATAATTCTCTTCTCTGCCTCCTGGTATTAGGATTATAGGTGTGTACCACCATGCCTAGCTAGAAGTACCTTTATTCTTACTTCTGCTTAATTATAATTTTCTTTAGTCTATTAGGTGGGTTATTTACCAGAATTAGATAGATATGATAGTATTATCTAATATTTCTTTGTACTATTTAAAAATTTTAAAGATTCATTTAACTATATCTACTGAAACTTAGTTACTACTATATTCTTAGATACATATATAATCCTGTCTTATACAATTTAAGCAACTGTTTTGGGTTTTTTTGAAAAAAGAAAACTTCTGCTTTCTACTCAGTAAGATAATTGACTTAGAAATAAAGAAATAATATGTTTCTACTTAGAATGTAAAAAATTTTGATCAATACAGACAACCCATCATACAAGGCACTTTGTTTTACATTCATTGGCCATGTATTCTAGTGAGCAGTTCACACTATATATTGTTTACTATAAATTATTCTTAAACTGGTTGTCATAAATAAAAAGTTTTTCCATCTATAACATCTCTTAGTCATATTTTAATTTCAAATTCCTACATATCCCCAGGAAATACATTAATTTTATAATGTGTCAAAAGGTAAAGTTCATCCAGTATAACATTGTATTATAGTGTTATGTCATTAAACTCCTACTTTGTGAGGTCTTAAATTCCTTAAGTAATTATCTTCTAAAGTTGCAATTATCTGTTTTCCTGAAAAAATATAGCTGGTCTTAAAAACTTTTTTTATGTTTCTTACATATTTGTTTGTCTATTCTTGCTCTTCTGTCCTTATTCCAAATTTATAATACTCTAGTGTGCATTTAGTTCTTTATGGTATATTTTTAGAATTTATTATATTTATATATCTTTTATTCTTAAATCTTAGATACAATTGAAAAGGAAATAAGGAAAATCTTCAGTATTCCAGATGAGAAGGAGACCAGATTGTGGAACAAATACATGAGTAATACTTTTGAACCACTGAATAAACCAGACAGTACCATTCAGGATGCTGGCTTATACCAAGGACAGGTATTATTTAGCAGTGATGTCTGTTTTAGCATACTATACACAAAGCTTTTTAGATTCACAAACTTTAATGAATATCCTGCAATATATAATGTTTTCTGTTGTCTTTGGCTTCCTCTAAATTCACCTCTTCTCTGTCCCTGCTGGTCAATAACTACAACTTCTGATTCTGTCCTTTAGCTTGGGAATAATCTGTTTGTTAAAAAGAAACAATTTTCAAATAAAAATAAAGAAGCTACATTCTAAGATGGGTCACCAAATTTCTTATGAAAGACCAAATAGTAAAAACAAAATGCAGGCCATAAAGTCTCTGTTGGAACTCTTAACTTTGAAATTGTAGTAGCATGAAAGCATCCGTAAAGAATATATAAATTAATGGGTATGGCTGTGCTACAGCAAAGCTGTTCTTAGCAGGGCAGCAGGCTAAGTAGACGATAGTTTGCCAACCCCAATTAGCAGGTATTATTTCCTAATTTGGTCTTCCTTTATTTCATAATCCAAAAAATTATATTCATGTTTTGAGAAACAAAGATGTTTAGTTAAAATCAACAACTGATTCTACCTCTGGATATCTCTTGACTTAATCTCTGTTCCATTCCCAGCCCTTACCTTTCACACTCTAGTAGATCCCACCCACTATCTCCAATTTGTTACGTGGCAATTCAGTCTTATTTGTGCTAGAGTATTCATTCTAAAATGTAAACATGATTATTTCCCTTTCATAAAGCAGCTCCTTAATAATTATAGGATATGGGTAATGTAACCCAGCATACAAGTCATGGTTTAGCTTCTTGTCTAGTTTTCCAGCATCTTGAGATTATCCTTGTCCTATGGTTTACTCTGGCATTGGTATATTACAATACACCAAGTTTATAGTTCTTTGAACACACTATGCTATTCCATATTATTATGCTTTTGCATACATGATTTGATGCCTGACATACTCTTCATTCCATTCTCTGCATCCATCCAGCAAAAGTTCCTTTCAACCATTTGAATATTCAAGTTATCCATCCCATCTCATCCTATCATGTAGGCATACCAGCTCAGATTATTCATTCTTCAAAGCTGTTTTTCAGCCTTCCCTATTTTTCTCAATATCCACTGATTTTTCTGTTTTAAAGAATAATTTCTCCCTTAATTTCCAAAATACTTTATGAATATATCTTTTGAATATTATACTTAATTAGACTATGAGGTTCTTGTTTAGGGTAGAGTTTGTGGGGAGCAGGGATTCACATTTTTTAGTATATAACACAGTGACTGATGATGCGATATGTAGAAGTTTTTGTTTTGTTCTGTTTTATTTAAGAATTACTATTAACATCAATAATATCATACTGAGTTACAAAAAAATTCAGAAAAACTAAAGAAAATTAATTGTTACTAAATGCCTATTATATGTCTAGTAGAATGCTAGGCTATTAAAAAACTGAGTTTTAAATCTATTTTAGCCATTTGATTCTTAAGTGAAATCTTTCAAAATCCAGTATATAATAACAATTAAAAGGAAAGTTACCTGATCAAAACTAAAGGACCTTGAAACCCTATTAGTTTGCCAAAAATTCCCTTTCTAGCTAACCAGATACCTTCTTTCTTCCACTAGACATAAACCTTTCTCTTTGGTTACTATCCATTAGAACTTGAGGTAGCTCTAGGAGAATTATTTCTTTAAATATTTTTAAATAGAAATAATCAATTTCTATGAAATGGATGTTATTCTCTCCATCACGTACATTAGAAAACTGAGGCTTAGAAAGAAAATAACTTTAGGTTCTTGGTTTTTTTTATGTTACCGAAGTCTGAATTCAGGGCCTCACGCATGCTACAAAGGCGATCTACCTCTTAAGCCATGCACCTATCCTGAGGTTATTGGTAGGTATGCATGTATCAGATTGAAAAATAGAGAATGTGCTAATTTAATTAGATTAAATATCCTTAAGAACATTTGATCTTTTATAATGGTAATATTTCAAATAATATACATTAAAGTTTCCACATTTTAGAGTAGTTCTTTTTTGACTGATAAATGAATTAACTGAATACTATTCTGAACATTTTTCCCTTCACATAAAATTGAAAGTATCCTCATTAGAAAGTTAGACAAAGATAAATTATTGAAGAGTTTGTCTCCCTAAAATGGATGGTATTGAAATTTTGAAATTTTTCTAGAAGTATTTTAACTCTGAATTAGTTTTACATATAAACAAAATTTTATTCAGAAAAAAATTTTGAATAAAGGAGTGAATTTTAACATTTCTGACGGCCTTTTAACAATAATATCTGTAGCTGTAAAAATATGGAATTGTAAGTATAGTACTATCAGAGATTAAGGTGTTATGGTTAAACAGCTGAAAATTCTGTAGCTAAAAATTCTTTGTTTTGTAACTGCTCTGACTCTTCCAAATGACCATAATGTTTATGTATGTATGTTTATATGTGTCACTATACTTACAAGTTGCAGTACATAAAAACCTTCAGAAGTTAATCACTACTAAATTCTAAATCTTTAAAAATATATGACTATATTGGAATGATAATTAGAAACTTGAGGCATTGGGTGATTGCCTGGGGCAGATAGGGAGAGGAATACAATCAGAAAGATGATGAGGATGGGAAGTACCAGGTGCACTTATTCTTTATGTGTAGCATATACATCATATAATGTTCTGAATATATAGGAAATGTCAGTATGAATCCCCCCTGTATAATGAATATATCCTAATAAAATAGAAGAAATGTTAAATTTTTTGAAGACAACTCTGTTTTAATTAGCATATCTTTTAACAAGGTTCCATGAACTTTGCAGGTCAGTATTTCATTAGTGATTATACATATTCTGAAACAAGGATCAAAGTGCCAATTTATATATAACCAGTAAATACACAGTCCACAAAAATATATTGCCTAGGGTATGTAGAGTAGGTTGCAAAATAGCAACTGTAGGAAAAAGAGTTGATAGGACTGAATATATAGAATATACAAGGATTTGTAGTACATTGTATTTATTTTAACTCTTATTGTTTACATATCACTTTTTCCCATTGAAATTTACATATTAACCCCTTATTGATACCACAAATTTCTTTTGCTACTTATTTTTAAGTGTTTTCTTTTTTATAGTCTAATCCATAGCAAAAACTAGAAGAAGGTCTCTTTTTCAGTCTGAAAGAAGGGTGTGGGGATGTTTTAAAGTAAAGTGTAACTCTGCCTCAGCGTGCACTTCTCATTTGCTAGACCAACTTTTGTTGACCTCAGCATGTTGCACCAGGGAACTTCAGTCTGATTCTCATAAATGTAACTCCTATTAAAAGATTCTGTGGTTTACATGGTGATAATATAAATGAACATTAATTTCAAAGCTTTAAGTAAATTATGTATAATTTATAATTTGGAATTAGCTGTGCCACTGTTCCTCGGTAGTATTTGCATAATAAGAGCAAAGACCGTGCATCAGTATAATCGCTGAACTGGACAATGGTTACTTCATAGTCTTATGTGACAAGCTACGAATACAAATAGAAACAGTACACTTTATACTCAGGAATTTATATTCTACTTACTTTAAGTTTTCTTAAAACTTACAGAACCAACAATTTTCTTTACATTCTTTCCTTTTTAGATTTTTTTGTTTGTTTGTTTTTTGGTTTTGTGACAGAGTCTTGCTATGTAGTCCATACTGACCTTGAGCACACAATCCTTTCTTCCTCAGTCTCCTGGGTGCTGGGATTACAGGCATGTGTCAACATGCTCAACTACCTTCTTCTACTTTTATTGCTTACTTCTTCTATTTGGGGTCTTTTATTCTCCTTTGCCCAGCTTTGGATTTAAAATGCAGATAAATACCTCTTCACTTTGTCTATTGTATCCTTTAAATAATCAGAATTATTTTAGTTTCTTAGTGTGTTCAGCTTATCTTCTAAAGCTATTTTAACTTCATAGTTCTGGAAAAACACCCTTTATTGTGTCATATTTGCAGGTGTTAGTGATAGAACAAAAAAATGAAGACGGAACGTGGCCAAGGGGTCCTTCTACTCCTAAGTAAGTGCTCCCACTTCTTATGGGTTGATCATTGCATGATTTTGAAGCCTTTGATTTCAGATAATGAAATCCAGAATGATAGAAAAATCTCATTGGATATTGAAAAATTCATAGTCTTTGTATTTTATTTTCTTAGAGAAGTTAAGTTTGTACTTAAAGTTACAATTTTTAAGACTTCCCATTCAAATCTCTTTTAGAATGAGGAAGTCTAAATAAATATTAAAAATGAGCAAGTTCAGTTTTAAAATGTAGTCAAACAATTGAACATTTTGTTTAATTTTCTTAAAGTATTTTTGTGATTTTAAAAAAAAATCTAATCGTATGTTCTCCCTCATGTGCGGACTTTAGATCAAGGGCAAACACGGCAAGGGGATAGGACTTTGATCACATGATAAGGCGAGTGCACACAAGGGAGGTATGAGGATAGGTAGGTAACCCAAAAAAAAAAAAAGATAGCATTTGATGTCTTCAATGCAGAGGAACTAATGCAGAAACTTTAAAGCAACAGAGGCTAATAGGAGAAGGGGACTAGGAACTAGAGGAAAGGTTAGTTCGAGAAGAATCAATTTAGAAAGTAATACATATGTACATGGAAGCAAAACTAGGAATCTCCCTATATAACTATCCTTACCTCAACTAGCAAAAACCCCTGGTCCTCCTTACTAATGTTTATACTTTCTCTTCAGCTAAATTACAGATAAGGGCAAAACAGTATCTGCTTGGAAGTGAGGGGGATGGGGGCAAAAGGGAGGGGGTGGGGGGAAAGGCAGGGGGTGGGGATAAGGGGGGAGTAATGACCCAATCATTGTATGCACATATGAATAAAGGAAATTTAAAAAAATCTGTTAATATGCTCCTTTATGAATCTAGTGTGAAGGTAATATTTTTATTTAAATAAATGTTTTTGAGTATAAGAGCATATGCAGAGATAGTATCAGGTATTAAGAGTTGCTTTTGACAGCAAATGAGGGAGAAATTATGAGTCTTTTTTTTTTTTTTTTTCTCACGTAGGTACTGGGGTTTGAACTCACGGTTCCCTACTTGCTAGGTAGAAACTCTAACACTTGAGCCATGCCTCCAGCCCAAGAAATCAAGAATCTTTTTAAAGATTCCAGATCCACACTGCTTATCAAGAACAAAGCCAGTTGTGTTTCAATATTCAGACATTTCACATCTTTGAGATGTAATATAGTACATATGTCTATAATTATAATATTTCTTTAGAGTCTAAGGGGAGACTATATCAAACACATTAGTATTAATGTCAAGTGAGATAAATGAGCCCTACAAGTAGCTTCATACCAGTTCAGATTGGGTTGCTTGCCACATGGATTGTGAAAAAAATTTTAACTTGTCACTGCTTTAGAGTTTCAGATTTTCTGATGAGGAATTGTGAATCTGTATGAAATTCTTAAAGTAATGAAGTAAGATGATAACCACAAATCAACAAAAACTTGCTACTTATTTTCTTCAAAACTAAAATGCATCTTCTCTATCTTGTGCGAAGCTTTTTCTGTAACTTTGTCCTGAGGAGTCACTTAAATATGTTACTTACATGGAGGTGATTTTTATTCGTACCCTACTTAGTCAGATATAGTATAAGACAAGGGTAGAACTTAATATAAAATTAGAACTTTTAATAAGGTGATATTAAAAGCATATTGGTTGAATCATGTAGATTTCTTAGCTGATGAAGATTTGGAAGTTGTGAATAATTTGTGAATATTCACTTTTCATCAGATCAGACCCACTGGATTAAGTTTTTTTTAATCATTTATGTTTAGGTTGCTACATACTTAATATATCTTTAAATAATTTTTAAAATTACAAAATTGGCTCTGGATTAATATAAAGATATTGTGAGTTCTCATGAGAAATTTTTTCTATGTAAAATTACAGTTTTCCTCAGACTATTTTCTCTTGTACCCATTATCTTTTCTTTTCTCTCTCTCTTATTAAACAAGGCCTTGCTGTGTTGCTCAGGTGGTGTTAAACTCATGGGCTCATGCAGTCCACCTACTTCAGCCTCTCAAGTAGCTAGGACTGCAGACACGCATGATCACACTTGACCCAATGTCATTTTAACTGACTCAGCCAACTGTGTGTAAAAGAAAAATAATGTATCATGTATTACCTAGCATACTATTCATGCAGTAAGTGTTGGTGAATGAAATGACAATACTAGACATACATGAAGTATAAATAAGAGTCCCAGTCCTCCCTAATCTGCCAGTTTAATAAGGATCCCAAATACTGAAATATGAAAAGTTAAGTATCCATTCATTGTAAAATGTAAGTAATACTATATAGCAACATACTCTTAGTATTGTCAGATGATAACTTACCAGAATACAGAAAATACTTTTGATATTTTCACTTGTGTATGTAAAGGGCTCTCAGAAAACTAAGAATAAAAGCAAATTCTCATAACTTGATAAAGGTAGACTTTCAGTTCTTTGAGAAGTAATATAGTACATGTGCCTATAATTGTAATATTTCTGTAGAGTCTAAGGGGAGACTGTATCAAACACGTTAATATTCACTTCAGCAAAATCCTGTAGTAGCAAACATATTTTGTGAAATTTTGAATATACTCCAAATAAGAGAGAAAAATCACTATTTGCATGTAGTACAAACATCTGCATAAAAATCCAAGACCCATAGAGTACCAAAACTGAGAAAATTTGTCAGTTTGCTTAATTTAAACAAATAGGCTTTTTCTATACCTGGAGGTTAGTAGTCTTTTTTTCCTAGAATGCATCTACATTTTTAGTTTTGTGGGCCATATAGTCTCTTTCATAACTGTAACTCTGTTGATGTAGTATGAAAGAACCCTTATACATGATGTCAACAAATAGGTATGGCTGTGTTCCAGTAAAACTTTTTTCTATTAATAGGTGAACAATTTGGATTTTGCCAATGAACTATACATTTCTCACCACAATTATATACAAAACTTTACCTAATTGAGAATGCATAAAACCTTCATGGAGAAAATTCTAGCTTTACTAGAAGACAAGGTTTATCATATATTAAATTGCTTAACCTGGTGATGTTTGTTTTCAGTCATGTCATTGCATCCTATACAAAATTCGTTAGCATTTTTCTTTTTTATTTTTTTGAGAAAATTAGCAAACTCATTCTTAAATAAGCATAGAATAATATAAGTCCAGGATTAGCTAAGTCAATTTTAACAGAGAAGAGGAAAGAAGGAGTACTATGACTACCAAATATTAAAAATTACTACAAATCTATAGTAATAAAAGCATTATGATACTAGCAAAAAATGCATATAGACAAGAACAAACTGATGAGCTCAGAAAGACATAATATATATTTGAGAATATGATGCTATGGTAATGTGTTACAAGTAGGCAGTGAGGTAGTTTAAAACAGATGGATACTTACATTTTATTAGGAGAATTACATATTTGGAGAAAAGGCTGACTCTAGAAAGACCAAAATAAGAAAAAAAAAACTTTACATCCAAAAGAAGAAATTTTAGAAAATGTCTGCAGCTTAAGGATCACAGAGTATAATATGGGAAATGGATTTGATTATATTAAAATTAAGGATTTCTGTTAAAAGAACCATATACAAACTTAAAAACCAAATATCAACTTTGGAACATCTAAATACAAGGTAATAATACCAATAATAGGTAAAGAATTGTTCTAAATTAGCAGAAACAAAGAAAACAACTTCTAAAATAGAAAAAAGATGAATAGACAGTTTAAATAAGAATGTGAAGTGCTAAGAAGATAGACTAACTCACTAGTAATCAGGAAAAATAAGTGAAAATAGCTACAAGATACAACCTTTCACTCACCAGAATGACAAAAATTTTTAAAGTGTTGGGTAGGATGTAGAAGTCTTTTTGATGATGAAAGTATAAACTAGTATTGCCAGATCATATAAATCAGTCAGTGTTTAATTAAATTAAAAGTGCTTAATCCTTTTGAGCCACAGTACATAGAGGGGTTTTTTTAACAGTATGTATTTGAACTCAGAGCTTCATGCTTGCTAGGCAGGCACTCTACTGCTTAAGCTATGCCTAGACTGGCCTGGACCACAATCCTCCTATTTATACTTCCTGCGTAGCTGGAATGACAGATGCATGCCACCAAGCCCAGCCTTTTTTGTTCAGATGGGTCTTGCAGATTTTTTGCCTAGGCTGGCCTGGATCCATACTCCTTCTAATCTTAACCTACTGAGTAGCTAGAGTTACAGGCTTAAGCCACTGTGTCTGGCTCAGATAAATTTTAATACAGGTATCTGAAAATAAAATCTTTGTAGCTGTATTGTTTGCAGTAGTGAGGAGTTGGAGGAAGTCTAGCTAAATATCCATCACTGGTAGAATGAAAAGGTAAAATAGGGTGGTGGTAACAATGGTGAGATCTTTAAAACTGAAAGAAACATTAAAGCATAAAGTTGAGAGAGAACAGCAGAATGAGATGATTCAGCACCTATTTTTAAATTAAAACACTAAACATGTTACATAAAATTAAATATCACTCGTGAACTTTTTTAAATGTAAAAAGTGCTTATTTACAATCACTCATAAATTTAGTAGAAGGAAATAGCAGCAATTAGAGGAGAAAAAAGGATAAAGTTGAGGAATTACCACTTGCTTTTATTAATACTTGTGTATGTTAAGCAAGAATTTAAATTCTTTTTTTCTGAATGAATGTTAGCTTAAAAAGTAGAATGCATGTGTATTCATAGAAATCCTTTTATAAGTATATATAACATAGGCAGATTCAAAACCAGCATAGAGCATGTAATTTTAGATTTTCAAGAACAAACTTTAAAATATTAAAAGATAGAACACCTTTTTTATACTCCTCAAAACTGTCATCGTATGTAGTAGATGGTTCTCAAATGCTGTAAAGATGATAGTTCTAATAAGCATTGCTAACCTGGGATCTGTCCAGATTACTGGACATACTGTATAGCACATTACTAGTTCCTACCTAGTGCATAAAAAGGCAGGGAAAAAT